AGGCGGGCGAGGAGATCACCGTCGGAGGCTCCCCGCTCCCTGCTGCCGACACGGCCCAATTGCCCTATGAGCTCACCTTCGATGGTGGGGCTCGCCGGATCGGGGAAGGTGATAAGGTCTCCGGTGCGGCAGCTGTCCTCTGGAGACACGACCCGCGCCGCGGCTACCCGCGCGTCGTCGCGGTCGCCGTCGTTGCCCTTCCAGGCTGCGACAATGCGCAGACGGCGGAGGCCTCCGGGTGTAGAGCGGGCCTCGCCCTGCTCCCCCACCTGGACACCACGCTGCGAGGGGTCCGGGTGGTTGGCGACAATCTCGCGGCTATCCGGCACGGAGTTGGCACCGGCCGCTATCGCCGGCTCCACCTGGCACAACAGATGGATTTCGCCCTCAGACAAGCCAGCGAGGCCGGATGGACCCTCACATGGCAGGCTGCGCGTCGTCGCCTCAATAAAGCAGCCGACCGGCTTGCAACACTAGGGGTTTTCTGGGCAGACGCTCTTCGACGCGCAGGCGACCTGGCGGTCACCTCCTGGATCGTCTGGGACGGCTCCCAGCCTCCCCCCCCCTCTTCCCTGCCGCGGACGTCGACCTCTGCGACTTGGACCAGGTTGCGTTGTTCGTTGATGCTCTCGAAAATCCCCCCCCCCCTTCCCCTCTGATCGCCCCCCGCCGCGGCACGCTAAGGTCCTGACGGGTCGCAGCTTCAGCTGCCGCAACAAGACATAGCAGCCTTCCGCTGCCACCCTGGATCTTTTCACACCTTGGATAATGCCCAAAAACAACCAAGGTCCCATCCGTCGATGGCCCTCTTGCCTGCCGTACAGTGACGACGGGCCGCCAGAGCGCATGGGCACGCGTGTCTTCCTGGCCCGCTTTTGCCCCTGGATGCGCTGGGTATATTTCCACGGCGGTGGCGGCACTGGCGCGAGATCTGCCAGGAGCCCGTTGACGTCCTCTGCTCCTCAGCGCTTGGCTGGAGTCGTCAAAGTCTGAGGGGGTGGGCGGGTTTTCCATCCACAACTCCTCCTCCAGGGCAAGGTCTGGGGATGGGTAGGAAGGGGGGTCAGCTAGGACAGCGCCCCCGTGCGCAGTGTGGCTCACCGCGAAAGGCGAGCCGCTGTCCGTCCAAAAGAGGGGCCCTCGTTCTCTGTCTTGCGACGAGTACTCAAGTCCACGGCGGCGTCCGCCGGACGCGGCGCTAGGGAACTCGAGCCCGGGAGGCGGGTCGGGGCGGGAGAAGTCGGGAGAAGAGCTGGTGGACGAGGGAGGGAAGGCACGGGGCGATCCGGCCGCCGGGATCGGAGACCTAGCGCGATCGATCCGGTCAACCAGAGGAGCGGCCCCGACCGCGGGATCGGAAGCGATCCTGGTGGCACTGAGCGAACAAGGAGGCCCCACGGGCCATCCAGTCGCCAATCCCAGAGAGGGAAGATTGCGATCGATCATCTCCGTGGAGGAGGACGTCTCCCTGCGATCACTAGAATCGGGGTCCCCCGACTCTCGTGCTCTTCCTTCTGGCGGGAGGCCAGCCTCGTCGCCTGTTCCAGGGAAGCGACGGAAGGTCGCACTGTCAGTGAGCATACTGTCGACGCCCTCCCGTCCCACCTCTGCGGGGGCCGTGTCCCAGATCCTCTCTTCCACCTGCCAACGGTCCCTGGGTCGAACGCCGTGCGCCTCCCTCTGCGCGCCGTCATCCGATCCAGGGAAGCGACGGAAGGTCGCAAGATCTGTGTGTATCGCAGGGATGAGAGCATCACCCCCTCCTCCAGTGTCGCGCCTGCCGTTCTCACTTCCAGTGAATCGACTGAAGGTCGCGCCGTCAGGGTGCGCACTGCCGACGCCCCCCCGACCAACCCCCGTGGGGGCAAGGTCCATGGTCCTCACTCCCGCCTCCGAACGGTCCCTGGGTCGAACGCCATGGGCCTCCCTCTGCCCGCCGTCATCCGATCCAGGGAAGCGACTGAAGGTCGCAAGATCTGTGCGTCTCGCAGGGATGATTGAATCACCCCCTCCTCCAGCGTTATGCCTGCGCTCTCGGGTCCATGGAAGCGACCGAACGCTGCGCCAGCGTCGGAATGCGCTTCGCGGGCAGAAGGTCCGACATCAGCGTTTAGCTCGCCAGCGGGGACTGTCTCACTCGGCGCGGGCGCGCCCAGGAGGGGGGGCTCGGCGGAGTGTAGGCGCGAGCCTCCGTGAGGCGGGTCAGGACTACGGGCAGGCGCCAGCCCGTTTCTCCTGCCGACGCCCTCGCGAGTGTCCCCTGAGGGTGTCAGTTCCCTGGGTTCCCCTTCCAGGTCGCCTTGGCCCCTGGGTCGAACGCCGAGGGCATTCATCTGCCCCTCGTCAGTTTGTCTACGAGTACCTGGCTCCGTGGGGGGGTCGCTTGTGCAGGAGCGAGGCCCTCGCCCCCCGTGGCCCTGGCGTCGCCGAGGGCCGTTCCACTCTGCCCAGCAGCGCCTGGAGAGAGGGGGGCTGGGCGCCCAGCAGCGAACATGAAAGCAATAGAGGTAAGAGAAGAGGTTAAGTTAGGCGGGAGGGCATTCTGCCAGCGATCATCACATCCAGGGAAGCGACGGAAGGTCGCAGCGCCAGTGTGCATTCTGTCGACGTCCTCGCGACCACCCCCTATGGGGGTTAGCTCCCTGGTGCATTCTTCCCCGTCGCACCGTTCCCTGGGTTGAACACCGTGGGCATCCCTCTGCCTGCCGTCATCCGTTCCAGGGAAGCGACGGAAGGTCGCAAGATCTGTGCGAATCGCGGGGATGGACGCGTCACCCCCTCCTCCAGTGTCGCGCCTGCCGCTCTCAGGCCCCTGGAGGCGACCTAGTGCAGCATCAGCGTCGACATGCGCGCCAGGACCTGAGGGCCCGTCCTCTACGCTCACAGCGCAGCCGAAGGCTGCTTCACTCGGCGCGATCGCGTCCACAAGGGGGGGCTCGGCGGAGTGAGGGCACAAGCCTCTGTGATGCGCGTCGGGGCCAAAGGCAGGCGCCTGCCCGCCCCCCCCCCCGTCGCCCTCGCGAGCGCCTGCTGGGGGTGTCGGGTCCCTAGTCTCCCCCCCCACGCCGCAGAGGTCCCGGTGTCGGAAGCCGAGGGCGCCTCTCTGCTCCTCGTCAGCCTGCATAGGAGGACCAGGACCCGTGGGGGGGTCAGCTGTTTCAGGAGTGGGGCCGTTGGCCCTCGTAAACCTGGCATCGCCGTGGGCGATCCCACTCTGCCCAGCACCGCCTGGAGAGAAAGAGATTGGGCGCCCAGCTGTGGGCATGGGAAGGGTAGGGGTGAGTGAAGGGGATAAGCTAGGCGGAAGGGCCTCATGCCTACCATTATCACATCCAGGGAAGCGACGGAAAGTCGCAATTTCAGTGTGCATCGGGGGGCTGACCGCATCAACCCCTTCTACCGTTCCGTGCCTGCCGCTCTCGAATCCAGGGAAGCGACGGAAGGTCGCAATATCGGTGTGCATCACAGGGTTGAGAGACTCAACCCCTCCTTCCGTTTGGCTGGGGCCAACGGTCCTCGTGCGCATGAAGCATCGGCGGAAGCGTTCCCATTCCAGGGAGCAGGAGGCGACGGCTGCCCTGGCGGGATGGTGTCCTGACATCTAGGGCGAGGATGTCCTGAGTCAGCCAGACCACTGGCCCCAGGGTCGACGACAGGCGACGTGGCCCTCGTCCCCACGGGGATGACAGGATCATCGCCGATCGATCGCCCGTCCATGCTAAGCGGAGGGCCGCTCACGAGGCCGAAGTCGAGGAATCCAGGGAGTCTGCTATGGCGGCCTGGCCCCGGGGGAGACGCGCGGCAAAAGACTCCTAGGGGAAACCCCTTGAGCTGGGAGACCCGGCCGAGGGACCGAGGCCCAGAAACGGCCTTGAGCCAGAGGCTACGGAAGACTGCTGGAGTTACGCGAAGCGTCTAGAATCTGGCGCGGGCTCCCGCTGCAAACATCCCACGATGCCTGGACCGTCAGAATCCAGGACGGGCTCGCAAAAAAAAAAACCTAGGCGAACCCGAGTGCCGGCGTACTCGAGTCTTACGTTTCCCCGATGGGAGCGTGGAGGCCCCCGGTGGCGGCGGACTCGTCGTGGTGCTGGCCGACCCCTCGGCCCGAAGAAGCGACATCCTCGGGCACACTAGAAACTTGACCTCCGATGGCTCCTGGTCTGCCCGAGGAGGATCAGCGACAGCTCTGGAAGGAGGCCTCCAAATCGGCGAAGGCTGGCCCCAAGGATGCCTCCTACCTCCAAGAGGGCAGCCACAGCCATGTGCCATTGATGTCACGTGAATGCTCTGTTTCACAAGAAAATGGGAGAATCAACTTTACCGACATCCGACTCCACATGATCGCCCCAACAGGGCGCCTGGACGGCTCAAGAAGCCTTCAAAAGGGCCACGCGAGCCGCCAAAGCAGGGAGCGCAATGATGACGGGCCAACGAGTAACCGACGAATTCAACATCCATCAGCCACACAGCCTACCTGAGTCCAATCGGACGATGGGTTGAAACAATGGAGCGCAGGAACAAGTACGTGCAACAAAATACCCGTGGGGGGAATATTCCAGCACATTCGGAAGATTGTTCTCCCGTCTTGTCGCCGTCTGGGTCGCTTCTGCCAAGAACTGCACAGGGCGGGCGGTGAACGCGCAAAGTCTTGAAACATGTTTCTCCCCCTCCTCGTCCTCATTCACGGTCCCCTCTCCTCATCAATCCTCACCTCCTCCTTCCAGGCTCCATCATCCTGGTTCCCGCCTCGCTCCCCTTACCTCCCCCCATCGCCTCCCTCCCCCCTCCCCCCCCTCCCCCTTATTCGCCGGCTCGCCCACATCCCTCGAGAAAGGGATCGACAACATAATTGATGCATCCCCCAAATTTGATGTTTCAGTCGAATCTACGATAGATTGTGCCGAAGATCGAAAGACTTCCTTCGAGAAAACGCACAAACAGGCTGGGGTACAGCAAATCTGTAAAGGATCCCAACGCACCCCAACCCCGACTCACGCCTGTCGGCACGCCAGCCGCCGCCGCTCCAGGGCTGCTCCCACCACGACATCTCCTCGCGGGGCTGGAGGGCAGGAGCAACTAGCACGTGTTGGCAGCGGGGAGGAGGGAGAGGAGGCATATGGGGGACGGGTGGAAAGAGGGGGAGAGGGAGGAGGGGGAAGAAGGAGAAGGGACAACAAAAGGAGGCCGAGGATGAAGGAGATTGAGGAGCAGACGGGGTTTTCCTCCTCCTCCTCCCCCTCCTCCTCCCCATCCTCCTCCTCCTCCATCTTCGTCTTCTTCTGATTATTATTAGTTTTCGGATTATTTCTATTATTAGTATGCTAAGCATTATGATTCGTAATCGTACGATTATCGGTATTCTTAAGATTCGTCTTAGCATTAGTGTTATTATCATACGTATGTTGAATGTGTGTCCTTCTTATTCTTAGCCGTATTATCAGTCATGTTATTCGTTTTGGTTTCATGATTATATTTGTTTTTGTTGCCCGATCCTGCTTCTTCTCCTCCTCCTCCTCCTTCCTCTTCCTCCTCCTCCTCCGCGTCCTCCGCCTCTTCCCGCTCCTCCTCACTCTTATCCTCCCCTTTTTCCTCGGGAAAGGTGGCAGGGGGAGCCTGGGCGCCCCCCCCC